TGGCGGCCGGGCTGCGCGGGGCGCTGGGCCTGCGGCGCGGGCGCGGCCGGACCTGGAGCACGCTGCTGCTAGGTGAGCGGGGCGGGACGCGCAAGTTGGAGTAGCGGGCCGGATCCCCGCTCTCCGTACTCCTGCTCCCCCCGCCACTCGCAGCCCTCTCCGACTTTCTTCCCGGGACGCTCCTGCCTCCTCCCCGCTCCTCACGGGGCCCTGCTCCGCGCATCCTCCGCACCTCCGGCCGCCGAGGCTGCTTAAAACATGGCCCCGAGATCAACAGCTGCTCGGCCTGGCGGAGACCCGGCTGCTGACCGCCGCGGCTGGCCGCCTTTCCCGTTATCCCGGCCCCTAGCTCGGGAGGATAGTTTGCTTTGGGATGGGAGCGATTCCCGGAGCTTGAAGCAAACTCACGTTCCCTGTCTCAGAAAGTTGCCAAACTTATAATTAAATTTTAGCGTGCTTTTTGCTTCTTGGACGCAGACAGTGCGGGTGGCACTTTGTGATTCTCCTTGGCACGCCACTTTCCAGGTTGTGTTGTGTTTTGGATGCCCAAACTTTTTAAGCCTTCCCCGCTGGCCTCTCTCTTCTGCCACACACCTAATGGATGGTTTGTAGCTCTGCCTAGAAAGTTGAAGCTTTCACACGTGGACTGACCGAAGGGTTCGTTTTCTGATTGACATTCTTATCAATAAGGCAAGTTATAGCAGTTTGGATAACAAGGCCTAATTTTTCTAAGTCAACCTAAGATACTGTAATATTGCCCTTTTCCACATATTGCCATAATGCGCGTTGGCTGTTGAATTATTGAGTTGCTAGTGATAAACGTCTTACAATATTTTACCTCAATTACCTTTAGCAAAGTGTTGGGGTTCAGCCGACTAGAAGAACAGAGCAAAATCAGCCTTGTCAGATTATACCACCATGAGAAGCCACATAACCACTGAAAGCCAGTCATCACTGTGCTTATGGGTTTAGCAAGGTTGGCATTGTTACTATGGTATTTTGTTTTTTAACCCGTTGATTTAAGACCAGGCAAATTCATTCATTTTCGTCATTCCCCCTCCAGTAGGGAGCTTGAAAACCTGGCTGTTGTACAGGTTAAATTCACCTTGGGGAGGCAGCGTGGTACAGTGGATGAGAATGAAGGCTTTCAGAGTCTGCACAGCGCTTGGGTTTGAGAACCTTTCCTCCTGTTAGATGGAGTTAATCCCATGCCCTAGTTACATAGGGCTGTCCTTAGGAGCAAAACTAAAAATTCCGTGGCGGATGCATGTCTGTGTCTAAAGCATTTGACAGCTCTAATTCCTGTTGTAAAGGCAAATGCATAATACTAATTTCAGATGTGACAATAAAACCCCCTTTTCTTGACTAGCTAGTATAAACAGTAATGAGTAAAATAAGGAATAGCATTTGCTTTTTCAAAGAGAGACAGTAACAACTTAATACTGTCTTTTCCATATCTTATGGTTGCATTTCCTTTGGATTTTCTTGCATTGGACTACTTATATTTGGATTTAGTAGTGCCTTTATATAAGTGTAATTTTGTATCAATCTAGCGGTGTAGGATTTTGCTTGATATTGTAAGAGGGGGTACAGTGCGTATGGCAGACCATGTCCTAGGTGTACCCAGGACAGAGGTCATCAGATGTGTGGAGGTGGTAGGAACACTGGGACTGACCGTTTTCTACAGTGAGACCACAGTGCATCCTGAAAGCTGATTCTGTACTGTGATCAGACCTGGTGTGCCTGGTTCATGCTCTGGCCCTGTGCCCTCAGACTGTTTCATTCGGAATCCTTTCCCACATTGTGCTGTCAAAGCATCTGATAGCCACCCGTCCTGCTGAGGGGGCAAGCGGTTTTGATATATTTGAAAGCTGCTTCCTTCCCTCTTTCCCTTCCCAGAGTGGTGCCGGTGTTGTGAAGTACTCCAGTGTGGAACTTTAAAACAGCTCCTTGGCCTTCCATATTGAGAAGTGTTGCATGTTCATTTGTTCTTGGAGTTAATTGTAGTTGCTCTTAACAGATATTAAGCTATGACAAAAATGGTTTCATTTTTATTTAAGAATGAACTTTATAACTTGAAGCTTCATGATAGAAGCACATAATATAAACTGGTTAGAGCTCTTTTCCATATGTACTAGCCACTGACAAGTCACCAAGGTGACCCTGCCCACTGTGGGTCAGTGTGGAGCACTGTAAGTTTTATATGTATGCTTTTCTTATGTATGCACAATACTTAACAGTTGCAATAGAAAGGGTCTTGAAATACTTATTGTTTAGAAGTTTCAGTCTGGTTGTCACAGGAGTCAGTGGTGTAGAAAAAACCTTGACAATGTTTCTCAAACTTTCCTGACCATAGTAAAATACTTTGCCTCCCACCTGCTTACACCTGGAAAAGTGCATCCAAGTACATAGCTGTGTCTGTACAGATGTTAGTGCTTGGGCAAGACACAGATTTAATAATTGGGCTATTTTCAGGGGTATGAGTCGGCCTAAGGAACCACAAAGGATATCACAGCACCAAGGTACTGTGGGCAGTGAGCATGTGCTACCACCCCCAGGTATGAAGGGGAAGTAGGGCTTAATCAGGAGTCATACTCAGAGCCGGGCTGAGGAGCTGGGTTGCAGAAGAAAAGGGTCCTGATGCTCTGGTCTCCTGTTACTAGTGCCTTCCACTGACTGACAGATCCTGCATTTTGCTGAACAACCTATAGAATCAACCTCCTGGGGCTGTTGACAAGGCAGAGGAAGGTGGATATAGATTAACCAGCAGATAATATTGCCTTTCAAGAAGTTGTTTTTTCTTTTCTTCTGTGCTGGTTAGTTTTAACTGTGAACTTGACACAACTTAGAATCATCTGGGTAAAGAGTTTTAGGATCAGGGAGCTTTAGATTAGGTTGGCCTCTGGGAAATTGTCTTGATTACTAATTGATGTAGGAAGACCCTAGAAGACCCAGCCCGTTTTGGGCTGCACCATTCCCCTGTGGGGGTCCTGGACAGTGTAAAAGGAGAAGCAGCTAGTTCAGAACAAGCAAGAAAGGAGTCATGCATTTATTTCCTCTCTCTTCTTGATTCAGCCTCTGCCTAGACTTCTCCACAGTGATAGACTATAACCTGGAATTGTGAGACAAATCAGCCCTCTCCTCCCTCATGTTGGTTTTTGTCAGGATATTTTATCACAGTAACAAATGAAATTAGGACTCCCTTCTTTCCTCTCCACCTCTGTCCTTTCCATACCTGCTTCAGACTCGTTGGGTTTCTTTTTGAACAATGGTTTTTAGCTTTTTGAGCTTTGGTGTGGGCATATGTAAAATGAGAGATCTCGACTAGGCCAGCAATTGTCAATCTCAGCTGTACACTGGAGATATCTTAAAACAGGCTTGTATCCACACATCAGATCACTTAATTGTGAATGCAGGGGTGGAGAAAGCAGTACAGGGAAACACATTAGTGGATTTTGTTTTAAATTTTTTTTTTCTGGGACTGAGGATTGAAACTAGGACTTCATGGATGACAGACAAGTACTCTATCACTGAGTTCTGAAGAAGCAGACTCACATCACTGAGAGATAGAATTCCTTCATGTAGCAGTCTACTGAAACTATGTAAATTTACACTCCCTGATCCCTTTTAGAAACTTAAAAAAAATGTATTCACTTGTTTGTGTTTGTGTATGTATGTATATGGGCGGGTGGGTGGCACAGCACGCCTGTGAAGGTTAGAGGACAACTTAGAGGAGTCAGCTTTCTTCTACCGTTCGGTTCCTGAGATAGAACTCAGGTTGTCCCAGTGGCTGCAGGTGCCTTAACCTGTAGAGCCATCTCACTAGCTCTACCCGCTTCCTTAAAGTGGACACGTGGTCATCCAATTGCTACCCTTTTACTTAATCTTTATTGTTTCCAACAAACTGGGGCTATTAGTTGCTGTTTATCTGATATAGCTACATACTTCTTTTACCTACTTGGCCCTTAAAAAGGAAGAGAAAGGTAGCTGGAGAAGGCTGTTTGAGGGCTAGAGGTGGAAAGTACTCATGCTGAACAAGTTCACAAAGCATGCCTATGGGGAAAGGCTGCAGCATGAGAGGCCATTTCTAAAACAATTAGAGAGTAATGCAAGTATGGAAAAGATGGATGAGAAAAGCTGTTTTCCTCTCATTTCTGTCTCGTTTTACTCCTCCACTTTACCTCTGCGGGTCCCTGGTGTTCAGCATCGTGGCATTTTGTGGGGGATGATCCTGTTCTGAGGGGCTATCCTGGTCATTGTAGGTGCTTAAGCAGTGTCTCTGGCCTCTGCCTACTAGAGGCCTGTGGCATTTCCCCAGTGGTGGCAACCAGAATACCACATGTAACTGGGAGACAGAAATGCCACATTAGAGCCACTACTTTCATTACTCATGACAAGCCTGGTGGAGGCTGTGCCGCTTTGGAGTTGATAACTCTGGAAAGAAACGTTAGCTGAACAGAGGAGGAGAGGGTGCATTCTTGACTCAGCCAACAGTATGTGCTAAAGGAAGGACAGGTCTTAGCAGGTTGAAAGAGGAAAGGTGGTGTGTGGGCCTGATCTGGAAAAAAGAGCTTGGTTTCATTTCTTTTGCAGCAGAAAGCCACTGAGGGTGTTGAGCTAGAGAGGGACATGTTTCCACTTGAATTCTGAGAACTCTGCTTGGGAACCAGGTGGAAGTAATGCACAGACAAGGCAGAGCTCCCATAGAGAGTGCTTCCAGGACCTCACAAGAGTTGCTGAAGTGGATGGATAGAGCTCTCTGTGGAGATGGAGAGGAGGTGATGGGTTCCAGAGAGGTTTCAGAGGTAAACGTGGTAGAACTTAGGGATAACTTTGTCTTGGGTAAGGGGAAGGAAGGAGTTTCAGATAATCTCTAACTGTTGACTGAGACAGTGAAGACTCAGTTCAGATGAGAGGATAGGTTTGAGGGAAGAAGCATGAACTGTGCCTGGTCATTCTTTGAGATGTCCAATTAGATGTCAAGTTGGTGGTAAAGAGAAAAATTCTGAGTGGAGCAGAAAAGTGCTTTAGCAAACAGGTGGTATTCAAAGCCAGGGTCATTGACCCCTCTA